AGGGGGGAGGGGGGGTCGGGGACGGCCGGCGGCCGGCGGTGGTGGCAAGGCCTAGGAAGGCCGGCGGCGGCGGGGAAGGGAGGGAGGAACCCTAGAGCGGGGGAGCAGGGAAGGGAGCGGGGGAGGGAGGCCCTTGCATGCAATGTTTTCACCCACTATTTCCTTCGTCCCACAATGTACGACGTTTTTGCAAGCTAACTATTTTTTTTTATATATTGGGACAAAGGGAGTACTTGACAAAAGTTATTTTAAATACATACATGAAGCTGTAAACATCCATCATTGTAATTAATCTTTAAAAATAGGACTACACCAAGTGCAACATATAACAAGTGTATTCAATATTTACAAAAATACGTATGCAATAAGGCAGAAAGTTGTCCGAGTTACAAAATCAACCCTTTGGAGTACAAAAGCACAAATAATTGCACCATATTGAGGGCCTCTTTGATTCACATGATTCTCAAAACGTTGAAATAGAAAAAAATGGGATTAGAGTGGCATGCCCACTTAAATCCTATAAGATTAGCATAGAGTGTTTGACAGCACAGAAAAAACAATTTTTTTTATAAAAAGAGGTTGGAGTGGATGCTATATTTTTTATGAAATGTAGTACATATGATTCCTTATGAAAATTTTCTATAGGATTCAATTTTATGAAACAAACAACCAACGCAGGAGACATTCATAACGATTCTAAACCTCCAAAAATCCAATGAAATTCCATTGAATCAAATGAGCCCTAAATAGCAAAAATGCAGGAATTGCCATCTTGCGCACTTCATGGTTATTTTTTTGAAAAACATATGAACTTTATTCAACCGAAATAACAGATACATCGTTTGTGAGGAAAGGTATAATCTCAATCATAGGCTCCTCAAACCAATCAACATTAGAAGAAAATCTAGCTAACCTAGCAAACTCGTGCGCAACCTTATTGGCTTCCCTATTACAGTGTTAAAACCTAGAGGTAGGAAAATCACACGCCAAAAACTAGCAATCATCAAAAATTGCCGCCGCCGCTCTTGCTGACCGCCGGTCATTATTCATCGTCTCAATAACCTCCAAATTATCAGAATTAATAACAAGGCGATTGCAACCCGCACGTTGCGCTAGTGAAAGACCGAATCTGAGAGCCCAAGCCTCCGCTGTTAGAGCATCAACGCAATGATCAATTTTCCATGTACCCCCTGCAATAAAATTCCCTTTATCGTTTCTCAGGACAGCCTCAGCCGTACCTTTAAGAAGATCATGATCAAAGGAAGCATCAACAAAAGTTTCACAAATCCCACCGGGGGACGAGTCCAACCCCCTCTTTTCATAGAAGCCCTTGGACTTGAAGCAACAACATAATTAGCTGCAAGAGCTTGTATCCCCATTAAAATCTGTTTTGCATCTTGAATTCTCTCATTGTGCACTAATTTACGTTTTCCCACCACAAATACACAGACGTAATGGCAATCATCTCCCGAATATTCTGAAACCCCATAATAGATAAATCTTGGTTAGGCAGGTGCAACAAAATACCAAGGACCGCCTCTCCAGCACGATCAACTTCACAAGCTTGAGCAATGATCTCATCTAAGCCAAGCCTTCTTCACACCTCTTTTGCCTTCTGGTACTGAAACAACAGATGCTTTGTGTCTTCTAAACCAGAAGCACAAAAAGGGCATAAAGGAGAAACTTTCATGTGTCTATTAGCAAGCGTAACACGACATGGAAGAGTACCATGTAGCGTCCGCCAAATAAAAATTTTCACCTTCGCCGGACAAGATAAATTTCAAATCTTACACCAAATTGGATTAAAGTTTGTTCGATCCATTCGATTAGTACGACGAAGTTTCCTTCCATGTTGATGATCCCACTCAACAAAATATGCAGATCAAACAGAAAAAATCCCATTCTTAGTATGACTCCAGGCAACAAAATCTGACATATCAAACTGAGGCAGAGGGATAGCAAGGACCCGTTGTGAATCAATGGGCCACAAGGTCTGTCTGATGAGATCCTCATCCCACCTATTCGAAGAGGGGTCAATAAAATCCGACACTTTTGACAAGAATGATGAGATCCTATGGAGTAATGACTTTTCTGTTAGCACAGTTAGGGATCCAAGCATCTTCCCAAATATCAATTTTCTGACCATTTCCAACTCGCCAAATATAGCCATGTTTTAAGGTATTAACCACCGCCATAATACTTTGCCATGTGAAGGATGATCCTTTTTTAATTTTGCGTTCAATAAATATCCATCAGGGAAATACTTAGCTCACAAAATGGTGGCACACAAGGAATCAGGGTTCTCAAGAAGACGACAAGCTTGTTTAGCCAGCATAGCCAAATTAAAACAATGAATGTCACGAACTACATGGTTAGTATGTGTGTTTGATTATGCGCGGAAAAGAACATAGGATTTCACATGAGGTTGAACTAGATGAAAATTTGCATAGAAAAACTAGTATAAAATGAATTGTAGAAAAAAAAATCCTAATCCTATGAATCGGACAACCCATACATTCCCCCCTAACGATTAGAAACCTCTAAAATTCTTTTAGGAAATAGGAATCCTTTTTTTGAGCGGAAAACCTGCCGCCGCTTTATTATCTAAACAAAGTTTGGAATATCACCCGAAACAGGAATCCCTTGAGTTGGTGTGTCCGCAGCATGTACGGACTTACCCGTATCTCTCCTATGTTTGGTTTCGATTTGTGAAATTTTGAATGCCTGAACAGTTTGGCTCATTGTCCGCACACATTTGGCGACTCCCATTGGATGGCATAAAAATGTCCAGCCCGATCGGTCCAAACATTTAGGGGTGATTCGGCGACCGTGTTGAAGTTGCCCTAAAATCTACGGTAATGTTAATTGATGAATGTCCGCTGGAAGAAATTGCTAACAAACACATTTCCGGCCATTTGATCGAGATCAAACGGTGACAGCTTTCTGAAAAGATTGCCTTCTCGGCATGAAATTGTCATGCTAGTCTGAAGAAACCGCCACCCACCTATAGCTAAACGGCCATGATAAACGTTCACAATTGACATCCTCCAAAAGCAAACGTTTCTGGCGAAGAGCATCTCTAGCAGACCCCGTATAATGTCGACCCACATAACGCGTTTACAGTTCGAAAAAAACGGTTTTGCGGCCGAAATCGTGTGCTGCAGAATAGACCCCGTATATGAAACTGTATAATTTAAAAAAATCTTTCGCGGGAGAAATTACAACTACAGTGATCATTCATAGTTCACAAGCTACATAGATCATACTACATTCTACTACTAGAAGAAGGGGGAGGGGGATCTGCGGGCCCGCGACGCCTACCAAAATGGACGAGGGGGAGGCCGACGCGGTGGAGGAGCTTAGTCCTCCTCGTCGGAGCTGACGAGGTCGATGTACTTCTCCATCTGCTCCTTGCAGATGTGCTGCCACTCGTCGTCCTTCTCCCTCACGGCAAGGTTGGCCGCGACCGCTTGCTTGAAAAGGAGGAGCTCATCGTCGTGCCGGCGACACTCCTCCTCCTCTCGCAAGCTCCGTGCGGTAATGGCGGCCGCGACCGCGTCGACATCGTCGCCGACGTAATCTTCGGGATCGATGACGCCTCGACGCGCGATCTCCTCCGGCTCCCGCTGGACGGCGACGAGCTTGCCCTCGTCCGGCTCCTGCTTGATGGCGACGAGCTCCGCCCACTCCCTTTTCA